AGATTACCCCATATAGCTGTAGTTCCCTCTGTATGTTTGGGAGGGAAATTTCAGGGTTCGTTACCATGAAGAGTAGGTCGTCTGCGTACGCAGCTACCTTGTGTTGCGTGTTGCCTGTTGTCAGTCCGGTTATGTCTGGGTTGTGTCGGATGTGTGTGAGGAATGGTTCCAGGGCAAGGACGAACAGAAGTGGGGAGAGGGGGCAGCCTTGTCTCGTGCCGTTATGTATTGTGAAGGCATCAGTTAACGCCCCGTTGACCAGCACCTGGGCCGTGGGTTCTCGGTACAATGCCTCTATCCAGCGTCGCATTTGTGGCCCTAGTCCCGCATGGGCGAGTGTTTCAAAAAGATATGTCCAGCCGACCCTATCGAAGGCCTTCTCTGCGTCAGTTGACAGCAGGATAAGGCCCCCTTTCGTGCCTCCTGTCCCGTGCATGAGGGTGAGTGCCCTGATGGTGTTGTCTCGGGCTTCTCGGCCTGTCACGAATCCCACCTGGTCTGGGTGGATCAGTGATGGGATGTGTTGCGTAGGTCGGGTCGCCAGGATTTTGGCCAGTAGTTTAATGTCGCTATTTATAAGTGAGATTGGTCTATAGTTTCCGCATTGTTCTCTGTCTTTGCCGTTTTTGGGGATAATAGTAATGTGGGCTGTTAGTGTTTGTCTGGGGAAATGGTTTCCGTCTCGTATCGAATTGAACGCTTCTATCATGAGTGGATATAGGTCTGTAGCATATGTCTTGTAATATTTGGTCGGTAGGCCGTCGGGTCCCGGGCTTTTGCCTGGTTTGGTTTGTTTAACCGCTAGAGCTAGTTCCTCTATTGTGATGGGTTCGTCAATGACCTCCGCTATCTCCGCGTCAAGTGTCGGTGTCTGGTATTTTGTCAAGTAGGCCCGGATAGAGTCTCTGAGGTGTGTTGTCGCCCCGTTGGTCTTCGGTTGGGGGAGTGTGTAAAGATCGGTGTAATATGTGCGGAATGTTCTCATGATGTCTGTCGGGAGGCGGTGTAGGGTGCCCTGTTTATCTCTAATTTTATCAATATATGTGTGTTGCCTCTGCTTTTTCAGCATCGCGGCTAGAAGTTTGCCGCTTTTGTTCCTGTGTACTGTGAAGAAGGCTTTGTGCCTTGTTGCGTCTCTGTGATGTTTAGCCTGCAGTAGTGAGGCTAGTTCCCGTCTCAGTTGTAGGAGTCGGGTTTGGTGTGTGTGGTTCGGGGTTTGTTTATTTTGATTGTCTGTCTCCTGTATCTTGGTCAGCAGTGCCTGTAGTCGGGCTTCAGTCTGTTTCTTCAGTATTGCCCCCTGTTGTATGTAGTGGCCTCGTATCACGCTTTTGTGTGCTTCCCATCGAATCGTCGGGGATGTTTGCTCTGCTGTGTTAGTCGTCAGGTAGTCCTTGATTTTCTCACCTATTAGGGTTGTGACCTCTAGTTTAGTGAGTAGGTATTCGTTCAATCTCCATTTCGAGGTCGTGGGGCGGTATAGTGGTGATTTAAGTTTTAGTGAGACTGGGGCGTGGTCTGACCATGTGGCCACTCCTATTGTTACTTCAGACACTAGGGAGAGGTCATAGTGTGTGGTGTAGATGTGGTCTATCCGGGAATAAGAGTTGTGTGGGTGGGAGTAAAAGGTGTAGTTTCTTACGTCTGGGTGGTGGGCTCTCCAGCAGTCCACGAGTCGTCGACTCCGGAGTAGGGATTTAACTGTTTGGAGTTGTTGAGTGGGGATGTGGGAGGTGCCCGATGAGTTGTCCCATGATGGGTCAAGAGTTATGTTGAAGTCGCCCCCTAGTATTAAAGTCCCTTCCGCGAATTCTTGAAGTTTGCGAAGTGTCTGTTTGAGGAAGCGGTAGTGTTGTGTGTTTGGGGCATAGATGTTTGCGAATGTGTACTGGTGTCCCACGATCTTCCCTTTAAGGAATATGTATCTTCCTTCGTCATCCGTTTTGCATCCCCCCTCCTGGAACGGCACCCTCTTGTGGAGGAGTATTGCTGTCCCCCTGGCCTTACCCCCTTGAAAATCGCTATAGTAACCTTGTGTGTAGTGCTGATTAGTCAGTTTGGGTCTATTCCCTTTTTTAAAGTGGGTTTCCTGTATCATTACTATAGAAGCCCGCTGTTTGTGAAAGTCTCTCAGTGCTCCTGTTCTCTTCTCTGGTTTATTTAGGCCTTTTGCATTGATTGTAAGGATGTGTAGGTGGTCTGGGGTCAGTGCCATCCCGCCAAGTCAGGTCGTTGTCGTCGGGTGTTGTGGAAATGACTTTGTCCTGCGTGCCTTTGGTGTGTGTAGTCTCAGGGGTCTCACAGTCAGCTGTCAGTGTCGGGTTGGGGGATCGGGTGTTGGGGTTTAGGTAAGGATCGAGGGGTTGAGGTATTGGAGTAGTCCGAGAGGTTCTCAGAGGTCTCCGTGGTTTGCGCCACAGTGCGTGGCGACTAGGTAGTAGCGTCGGGGAGCGACAGAGCCCGGCACCACCTGTGGTGTCCGTGCAACGCTCACCTTTCGGGTGACGCCTCGCCTACTGGGCGGTGGTTGGGTGTCCAGTCGCCTGGCGCGGTGTCCTTGTGGTGTATCTCGTCTCGTGGCTTCCCTATGTGGCTCCTCAGTGATTACTCCGTAGGAGTTCGCATGTGGTTCCCCGCCTCGGGGTGTGGTGGTTCTGGGGCTTGCGTGAATGAGTGTTTATGCACGTGTTCTTTTGGTTTGTGATTGGGTTACAAACATAAACATTAACAGCGTTATTAACATTTTGGTTTCAGGTCACAACAGGTGGAAACTTAACAATATTCTAACATTTTACATTTCAATTTTGTGTGCTGTTTACCTTTGTCCCCCTGCGTCCCAGGTTCCCACCCGCCCGCCTATCTAGTGTGTTCTTGTGTCCCTTGTGTCTCAACGCCCTGTTCCCTACATTTATGGGGAGGTGTGGGTGTCCCTGTCTGGGGTGAGAGACTGAGGTTGTTCCCATAGGCGTGGGTCTAGCTGGTGTGTTCTTGTCCCCCTGTCTCTGTGCCTTATGGGGTGCGCCCGTCGTATGGTTCCCTGGTGTGTTGAGCTTCCTCCCCCTGTTCTAGAGGTGTGTGACTGTTCGGCAGGTGGTTGTAGTTTGGTCAGCTTGGTGTTGTCGCTACCCATTTGTCTCGGGTGTGGGGTCGGAGCCCCCACCCCGGGCGCGCCCCGACGGCGGAGCCGCCCGCCTGCTCCCCGTGGTTCATTACAGCGCGGCTAGGCCCCGGCGGCCGGGCGCGGCCAGGGGGGCGGGCACCCCCCCTCCAATCCCTCTCACTGTTGTGTTGGTACTAAGAGTTTTTTGGGTCCCTGATACTTCCCCCCCCTCCCTAGTGTGAGTGCATTTAGTCCATGGGTGGCCTGGCAGGCCTGCGGGCACTGCATGCTCAAGCATCTGCGCCGATCTTGCCGCTTGGGTCTCAGGATTCAGTGTATCTCTTTATGTCTCTTGGCTTGTATGTCCGTGTGGGGTCTTAGTGAGTGTGTTGCCCCTTGGGCTATATACTTGCGGTTTTGAGGGTTTCGGTAGTGCCAGTTCCATGTGTTCTGGTCAGGGACGGGCAGTGTCTGTCCAGTTCATTGCTGGGCCGTGTGGTTTCCCGGCAGGGTGCTGTGATCATCTTTTAAATTCTGGAAATACGTAACCACAATCATCTAAGTGAATCCCAGGTATATTCCAACAGCTGCATGAGACTCATCTTAATAAAGAATAATGGTCTAGAAAGAGTAGTAGATATCTGGAATATCCTTCCAGTGGGAGCAGTAACCGTGATATAGAAAGGGTAGTAGATACCTGGAAAAGCCTTCCAGTGGGAGCAGTAACAGCGATATAGAAAGGGTAGTAGATACCTGGAATAGCCTTCTAGTGGGAGCAGTAACAGTGATCTCGAAAGGGTAGTAGTTACCTGGAATAGCCTTCCAGTGGGAGCAGTAACAGTGATCTCGAAAGGGTAGTAGATACCTGGAATAGCCTTCCAGTGGGAGCAGTAACAGTGATCTCGAAAGGGTAGTAGATACCTGGAATAGCCTTCCAGTGGGAGCAGTAACAGTGATATCGAAAGGGTAGTAGATACCTGGAATAGCCTTCCAGTGGGAGCAGTAACAGTGATATAGAAAGGGTAGTAGATACCTGGAATAGCCTTAAAGTGGAAGCAGTAACAGTGATATAGAAAGAATAGTAGATACCTGGAATAGCCTTCCAGTGGGAGCAGTAACAGTGATATAGAAAGGGTAGTAGATACCTGGAATAGCCTTCCAGTGGAAGCAGTAACAGTGATATGGAAAGGGTAGTAGATACCTGGAATAGCCTTCCAGTGGGAGCAGTAACGGTGATATAGAAAGGGTAGTAGATACCTGGAATAGCCTCCCAGTGGGAGCAGTAACAGTGATATAGAAAGCGTAGTAGATACCTGGAATAGCCTTCCAGTGGGAGCAGTAACAGTGATATAGAAAGGGTAGTAGATACCTGGAATAGCCTTCCAGTAGGAGCAGTAACAGTGACATAGAAAGGGTAGTAGATACCTGGAATAGCCTTCCAGTGAAAGCAGTAACAGTGATATAGAAAGGGTAGTGGATACCTGGAATAACCTTCCAGTGGGAGCAGTAACAGTGATATAGAAAGGGTAGTAGATACCTGGAATAGCCTTCCAGTGGGAGCAGTAACCGTGATATAGAAAGGGTAGTAGGTACCTGGAATAGCCTTCCACTGGGAGCAGTAACAGTGATATAGAAAGGGTAGTAGATACCTGGAATGGCCTTCCAGTGGGAGCAGTAACAGTGATATAGAAAGGGTAGTAGATACCTGGAAGAGCCTTCCAGTGGGAGCAGTAACAGTGACATAGAAAGGGTAGTAGATACCTGGAATAGCCTTCCAGTGGGAGCAGTAACAGTGATATAGAAAGGGTAGTAGATACCTACCTAGAATAGCCTTCCACTGGGAGCAGTAACAGTGATATAGAAAGGGTAGTAGATACCTGGAATAGCCTTCCACTGGGAGCAGTGATATAGAAAGGGTAGTAGATACCTGGAATAGCCTTCCACTGGGAGCAGTAACAGTGATATAGAAAGGGTAGTAGATACCTGGAATAGCCTTCCAATGGGAGCAGTAACAGTGATATAGAAAGGGTAGTAGATACCTGGAATAGCCTTCCAGTGGGAGCAGTAACAGTGATATAGAAAGGGTAGTAGATACCTGGAATAGCCTTCCAGTGGAAGCAGTAACAGTGATATAGAAAGGGTAGTAGATACCTGGAATAGCCTTTCAGTGGGAGCAGTAACAATGATATAGAAAGGGTAGTAGATACCTGGAATAGCCTTTCAGTGGGAGCAGTAACAGTGATATAGAAAGGGTAGTAGATACCTGGAATAGCCTTCCAGTGGAAGCAGTAACAGTGATATAGAGAGGGTAGTAGATACCTGGAATAGCCTTCCAGTGGGAGCAGTAACAGTGATATAGTAAGAGTAGTAGATACCTGGAATAGCCCTCCAGTGGGATGCAGTAACAGTGATATAGAAAGGGTAGTAGATACCTGGAATAGCCTTCCAGTGTGAGCAGTAACAGTGATATAGAAATGGTAGTAGATACCTGGAATAGCCTCCTAGTGGGAGCATTAACAGGATATAGAAAGGGTAGTAGATACCTGGAATAGCCTTCCAGTGGGAGCAGTAACAGTGATATAGAAAGGGTAGTAGATACCTGGAATAGCCTTCCAGTGGAAGCAGTAACAGTGATATAGAAAGGGTAGTAGATACTTGGAATAGCCTTCCAGTGGGAGCAGTAACAGTGATATAGAAAGGGTAGTAGATACCTGGAATAGCCTTCCAGTGGGAACAGTAACAGTGATATAGAAAGGGTAGTAGATACCTGGAATAGCCTTTCAGTGGGAGCAGTAACAGTGATATAGAAAGGGTAGTAGATACCTGGAATAGCCTTCCAGTGGAAGCAGTAACAGTGATATAGAAAGGGTAGCAGATACCTGGAATAGCCTTCCAGTGGGATGCAGTAACAGTGATATAGAGAGGGTAGTAGATACCTGGAATAGCCTTCCAGTGGGAGCAGTAACAGTGATATAGTAAGAGTAATAGATACCTGGAATAGCCCTCCAGTGGGATGCAGTAACAGTGATATAGAAAGGGTAGTAGATACCTGGAATAGCCTTCCAGTGGGATGCAGTAACAGTGATATAGAAATGGTAGTAGATACCTGGAATAGCCCTCCAGTGGGAGCAGTAACAATGATATAGAAAGGGTAGTAGATACCTGGAATAGCCTTCCAGTGTGAGCAGTAACAGTGATATAGAAAGAGTAGTAGATACCTGGAATAGCCTTCCAGTGGGAGCAGTAAGTGATATAGAAAGGGTAGTAGATACCTGGAATAGCCTTCCAGTGGGAGCAGTGACAGTGATATAGAAAGGGTAGTAGATACCTGGAATAGCCGTACAGTGGGATGCAGTAACAGTGATATAGAAAGGGTAGTAGATACCTGGAATAGCCTTCCAGTGGGAGCAGTAACAATGATATAGAAAGGGTAGTAGATACCTGGAATAGCCTTCCAGCGGAAGGAGTTATAGCAGGCTCATAATAAAAATAATAAAACAGCCTGATTCCGATTAAAATAAACCATGATGAACTTACTTTATATGTAAATTGCGTGATAACCATGGCAGAGACAAGTAAGTATTGGACTGATCTTTAAATAATTTCAATATATATTTGACATGAAAGCTTGCCCCTCTCTATGTGCAGCTCCCTTATAGAATTTGTGTGGTGACATAATCTGAATTTTATTAAAGGCAGGAGGCTTCGTATTTGCTTTACTTCCTTTACTGTTCCTCCCAGCAGCAAAGAAACAGTTAACAGATTTGAAAAAAGAAACAACCAATCAGAACACATCTAGTCAGTAATAAGTGGCTGTGAAACTCCTCCCAACTCCTCTTTCTTTGCTGCTTGCCTCCCAGGTGAGTCAGTTCTGATTACAGACCTTATAGAATATTTGATCAAGTTTCTATATGTATGTTTATACTTATTTATATCTAGCCTATATTTTTTTTTGTCTTAACTTAGGCTACCTCTTTATTGAATTTTATTTACCCTCTTTATTCTACTTTTAATCATTTTTTTTCTCCCTCCTGGGGCCGGCCCTCAGGACTTTTGCCTTTCATTTGGGCACTCCGCACCCCTTGGCAGTTTCCACCGAGGTTTTCTTTCCCTCTCACACCACCCACAGCGGGTTTTTTCCGCCGACCGCGTTCTAACCGCGGCTTTATTTACCTTTCAACAGCTTGTACTAGCCGCGTCCTGTCAGCGGCTCCCCTCTATCTGTTTTCCCACTCTTTTCTCCGACGTGCGCAGGCTCCACCTCTGCACTCACCGGCGGTCATTTTCAGTGTGTGGCAGTTTACCAATAGCAGAATCCATGCCCAAAGTTATTGCGGCTTATCATGAACAAGCTAAACCTGCTCCTAGGCCAAACACTGCCTTAAATATTTCCGACTCAGAAGAGTCTCACGATTCAGACCATGACGGGGCTCCGTGCAAGCGTCCCTGGAAGGCAAGAGTCTCTCCGCCGGTAAAGGCAAAGCACCTGCCAAAAAAAAATAGATTGTCGCTTCCCTCTTCAAGCCTTTACTTATTGGACCCTCTAGAGGGTTCCACAGCACACGACCTACAGGTCGTGGATGAGTACTGCGCAGGGTACTCGAAGAAAACCATGATAATACCCCTTATGTCAGGGAATCCTTCATAAACACCAAACCATTGGTTGGCTCCACGCCTAATAATCCTTCACAAAACAAGGATCCTTTAACTGACACCCTGCTGGATGCTAACGGCCAACCCCTTTTTGATCCTAGGATCATCAGACACCCCCGGTCCGCTGAATGGACACCACCTAACCATATAGCCCAATTCTGTAGAATGTGGCTCCGAAAACCACTAGAGAAGGAGATTAGGAACAAGTTACAGGCTGAATGCCCCCGACCTACAATACCGGACAAGGTCGCCCTGACACCTGAGTTTGATCCCCTCCTCATTACCTTCCTCAGCAAGTCAGGGACTCAAAACAGTCCAGGGCCTCAAAACAGTTCAGGACAAATTATTGGATAGTGCAGGCCCCATTATCCAAATTTTTATCTTGGCGGATGAAGCCATTGTTGAAGGTACCTTGGACCCACACTTGGTACGCAAATGGGCCCAAAGAGCCTTATGTCTCCTGGGGAATGCTAACGTGGCTATGTCCACTGAAAGAAGGAAAGCTGCACAATATAAAATAGATGCAAAATTGACAGATTTGAGTTCCAAAGAATTCGGCCCAGAGGCCAACGGCCTACTATTTGTGGACCAGTTCATGTGGGACCTCAACAGACACGTATCTCTATTCACCTTGCTGAATAAGGCACAGACCTCCATTCGCAGGGTGTTTCGAGCAAACCGTTTTTCTGGCAGAGCCGGTCGCCATAGAGGCCAAGCAACCGGCAGATCTGCCTCTAACGTCTACAGGCCTCGACCAAGTGAACCTTGGAACTCTGGTTATGCCCGTCCCTATCATAGACAACTGTTTACCAACAGAGGATCAATCAGAGGACGTGGCTCTGCTTCTCTCCGGGGTCGATCTGCTCAAGGTAATGCACCTACCTTATTCTCTAGTACATATTGCAGGCCGTTTAACTTGTTTTTTCCCACAGTGGTCTCTTCTCACTCAGGATCCTTGGAACCTTCAGACTGCTTCAGGTTTTCTCATGGATTTCATCACCGACCCCTGTAACGGACCGTTTCTCTCACAAAGGGATAAATCCGTTTAGGCGATAATCCCCTTTCTCATAGACCAGCAGTTATTGCAATCACCAACCTCCCGAACTCCAAACTGTACGAATCCCCAACTCACGAACAAGAAATACACGAACTCTGGAAGCAGCCGAACAGGAAAAGCAATACGAACGGCTTACACTCCTGGCAGTCAGCACACAATCCAATTCCCAATACTTGAGGGCGACACTTGGTTTTGAGGGTTAAGCAGAATCTCGATTGCTGCAGCACACCCAGCCTGGTTTTATTACAGTCTTGCAAATACAGGACCGCCCACAGGGAGGTATAAAACAATAATCACATCACAGTTACATCCCTCCCCCTTATCCCTGAGAGGAAACTCAATTATACATACAGTTAAAACATACTTTCTACCCAACTTTTCACTTAACTCCTAAAACCATACATCACATTCACATAAAATTACGCATATTCACAGTCAATCCATTCAGGGCAACGCATATTCAAAATGGCACAAATCAGACAAGGGGTTTAAAAGTTAAGGGGAAAGTCCTTTGTGACTAAATGAAGCATGGCTTTCTGGCCCCAAACCAGTTTCAAGTCTTCTATCCTGGAGAGTAATTCAATTATCTCCAGGATAAGACCTAAGGCTCAATAAGCACATAGTTGCAAAAAGACAAAAAACACTTTAAAATACATAAAGTCACATTTACACATAACACACAGACATTTCACATATCCCCAGATAGCTGGGATCTGAGTGCACATTATTAGATGAATGGCACTCAGATCACACAAATAAGCCTTTCTGCAGGGGAAATAAACAGTTTAACCTGCAGGGCCATAGTCCAAAGGGAGCAGGCGAGCAGCCAGGCTTCTCCAGTTCACAGTGGCGAGGTTGGTTTCGCCACACTTCTCCCCTTTACCAACTAGACTAACAGGGTATCTGACCTCCTGCCGGTCAGTGCCCTGGTTAGTCCAGCAACCCACCCACAAAACAGAAACAGCAGTACAGCCCACCCACAATAACTGGTTACTACACCTGGGTAGAGGAGAACTTTGTCCATGTCCAGGTGCCTCACCACGACTGTGTGGGCAGCTGTTAGGCTGCCTTGGTGGGTTGCTGAGTGGGCAGAGACCAGCGGTACTCTGCCCTGATGCCAGTGCTACCACGGAAGTAGCCTGGTGTGAGCCTGGTTGTGGGAGGGAGAGACCGACTGTCTCCCCTCTGGATACACCGCTCTGTGGCTGGGGAACAGGACCGACTGTCCCTACCCCTTGTGCTGTAAGTGCAGAGACTACAGTCCCATTTGCACTGTTGGGGGGTGTAACATCTCCCTTTGCTGGGTTAGGCTGCCGCTGGAGAGAGGGTGTAACAAGCTCCTCTCTCTGAACTGTAAACTGCCGCTGGGGAGAGGGGGTATCAGGCTCCTCTCCCTGACACTCTCTCTGCTGGTGGAGAGGGGGGCCAACTGTCTCCCCTTTCAATATTTTGTCCTGCTGCTGGGGTGCGAGACAGATGGTCTCTGCT